TTTAATGAATAAAGCAGGCAAATTTCCCTAGGGAATTTTCTCTGGGTAAAAATTCACTGGGAAGACTTTGCAGCTTTTCCATGTACTTGGTTTAGAGATTCAGCTGCCCACAGTGGCATTACAGCTGTGTTTCCTGAAACAAAGGTTGGATTTCTTGGGGCAAGAAAGCCTCCTGGCATATGACTCAAAAAAACAAAAAATAGCAGGCGAACAAAAGAGAGTTATCCCTGGCTAAAGCGTTGGCAAGATGTACTTCTAATCTATACATCAGCGGTGCCACACCGGGAGAAAAGTCCAATGGGTGGGGGCAAGCTATGAGGAACCAGGAAATGCACAAAAGAAAGAAAAAATAGAAATGAACCAGTCCTCCAATAACTCCCCCTTCTGGCTGTAGCATACTTTAGTGTCACTACATCACTGCTTCCTCTTCTCACAACAGACAATGGGGTACATGCAAAAGCTGTGTCAAGAAAGCAACTGTTTAAGCACCAGCCATTGGGAAGCTGATTGGCAGAGGAAGACCTCTTGAAGTTTGACCAGGAAATCACCTCTCAGGATTAAAGAGACATTTCATAGGGAAGGGAAGCCTAATCGGTATAGCTCATGACATCAACTGAGAACATTACATGCAGAGAGGAAAGGGATCCCCTTTCTCCCTTCCCACATTATGGTAAGTAAACACTTATGCCATAGCAATAGAACTCAGACTTATGCACCACTCCATAGCACTCTTATAGCGCTCTCTGGACGATTTACAATATAAGCATTATTTGCATAGTGCCCCCAACAATCTGAGCCCTCGTTTTGATGAACTTGGAAGGATGGAAGGTTGAGTCAACTTGAGCCCCATCCGGATCAAACCCCAGGCTGTGGGTAGAGATTGCCTGCATTTGCACCCCCAGGGCTCCTAAACCCTCCTTTACATCTTAAGGGGGTTTGGGAGGTGTTAGTGGGGCAGTCTTTTAGATCAGGACTACCCCGTGGAGTTTCCATTTCTCAGAGGACAGCAAGGGGAAATATTGCCTTCATGATTTCACTGAATAAACAGATGAGTTCAAGAAAAGCTGACTCCAGTTCCCTTGCATGGAGAGTAAAAATAAGAAAATAGGAAGAGCAGCATTCTTTGCTTTCTACTTCTGCTGCAGCACCTGGCTCAGGGAAGAGGAGGACCTGCTGGTAAAGTCAAAACCAACCTCTGGCAGGCCCTACATAAAATAGTAGAATTATAAAATTGGGAGGAGCCATTTCAGCCCTCAGGTCTAACCCCTAACCAGTACAGTTAAAACATCCTTGCCAGACAACTGCCACAATTACGCTTGAATTCATCCATTAAAGAGATGGCTGTCAGCTCTGTCAGTAATTGGCCTCCGTGTTAAATCTATTGCTGCAGATGAAAATTTCTCACTGCCAGCTTCCACTGCAGCACCCCCTTTCTTGGATCTGGCAAGTTTTCTTCCTTTGGCATACTCTGAGGTGTCTGAAGGGTGTGGCTACCTGTTTGTTCCTTCGGTGCAACTTGGTGGGAGTGGGGGGGATTAAGAAGAAAGTGCATGATGCTTCCTGTTCAACCTGTTTTTGCCATTGTTGTAACTTGGTATGCACCAGTAGTGGTTTGGTACCAAATTAGCCTCATCAAGGAGTGTTAAGTTTGCACGAAACTCCAAAGGTTAGAATACACAGTTGCTACATCCCTATTCTGGGAGTTAAGCTATTCTCCAAAGCAGGACAAAAAACAATGGAGGGAAACTAATCAAGGAGAGAAGCCAGCCTAGAACTAAAAAGAAATTTCCTGATAGAACAATTAATCAGTGGAACAACTTGCCTCCAGGAGTTGTGAATGCTCCAACACTGGAGGTTTTAAAGAAGATATTGGACAACCGTTTGCTTGAAATGATATAGGGTTTCCTGCCTGAGTAGGGTTGGATAGAAGGTCTCCAAAATCCCTTCCAACTGTTACTCTATTCTGTTCTGCTTGCTTCTCTGAGGATATCTCTGTACTTTGAGTCATTGAAAGCAAAACACAAATACAGCAGAGAGACAAAACAAATTTGAAGTTGAAATGAAGTTAATGAGATTGTCTGCCAAACTACTGTAATGTACATTAATATTAATAGGTATTACAATGCTGCTACAAGAAGTCTTGCCCTGAAATCTGGTAATATGATCCCCATTATTGCATTTAGAGTACTCAGAGTGATGAAACCAATGACTATAACCTAGAAAAATAAAAGGAATTGTCAGGTTACTTAAGCTAATGCATACGCTATCTGACCATCTCTCAGTAATTGGCTGCATTGTTAAAGGGTTGTCATGGATAAAAGGTTTTCCCTGTCAGTTTCCATTGAAGCACGTCCTTTCTTTGATCTAACCTTTTTCTTCCTCTGGCATGAACTGAAGTATCTGAAGGTTAGCATGCCGTATTCCAATTCTTTGGACTCTTCAAACTTGCTTCAAAAATATGACAGGTTGCTCTCAAGATGCAACTTCAGGCCTCAATTCATTTTCACTCTTGTTTTTTCAAGTACAGGTAATCCTCAACTTTATAACAATGGTTTAGTGACCATTTGAAATTACAGAGGCACTGAAAAAAGTGACTTATGACCACTTTTCACACTTATGACTGTTGTAGCATCCCATGGTCACATGATCAAAATTTGGATGCTTAGCAACTTACTCATATTTATGACGATTGCAATGTCCCAGGGTCTGGTTGCCCTATTTGTTAAATGTAGAACGGAAATTATTGAAAAATTCAATCATGTTACAGTCATTATAGATATATAAATTTCAGTTCCTCTCATAGTTCAATAGGTCAGTTCAAATTGATGCTGTTTATTCTTTTCTAGCAATACTGCTCTCAAAGGCACATTTTTTTCATTATGTTTTGCATTTGCTGTATTTATTTATTACTTAACTATATTTATATAGGACTATATCAGGGATTTGGAACAGCAAAGTAATTATAGTGTCCAAGATCTCATTGCACAAAAGAATTACTCGTAGCCAGAGGAACAAAGGCAAGTTAGCAAATAGGCTCAGAAGTCAAAAGCAAAACCAGTTCAAGACTTAGACAAAGGTCTGGAGATAAAAATTTAAGATTCAAGCAGAAAACGGAGGGTGCACTGACTGTTGGATAATCAGTGTTGACACATTAACACAACTAAGTGAATAGCAGCTACTCTTAACCAAAAGTTCTTGCAGCAGCTACCATTTCATCTATATTCAGCTGATGTTTTTTCAAGCTCCCTCAGGTCTAATTGTAAACCACCTAATTACACTGGATTACTCTCAGGTTTGTCTCATCTTTACAATGCTCTTCCTTACGTTTTGTCAGGGACCATTCTTGGGACCCCATTAGTGGGTCTGAATCCATTCATAATGCAATGGGATTATCTGATTTTTTCCCCTTCTTTTCAGAAAGCTGCTATGCCAGGAAGGGCTACTTTTACATTGGATGGCTAGTGCCAGTTCCATAGCAGCAAAACAATCAATGTTTTGACTCTATAAAGTAGTTTGCTCCCATTTGCTCCCTTTTCTATTTGACTGCTTGGATACTAGCTTATGTACCCCTGCAGGTTGGTAAACAGAATTGTTTTGTTTTGACTTCTTGGCATGTGATTCTGAAAACAGCTCTTATTTTCTTCCTTGTAAATCTTCTACAATCAATTATAAATACAGGTATTGTAGAATAGCATTGGATGTGAAATTATGCTTGTGTGAGTATATACTGTAAGTCTATTGAAAAGGATCTTGGAACTTTGAGGCAGATTTCTAAGAGGTCTAGCAGGGTATGGAGTTTAGGCATTAATGACTCATAATAGTTTGCAAACCATTTTCTGTAACTTGTTATTCTCTTAATATTTCTGTGTTGTCAATATTATTTTTATATTGGTACTTTCCCATTTTGATTGGGAATTGAAGACTTAAAACTGATTAGCTTTATGAGGTATTTGAAGGGAATATGGTAATTTCTGCATTATTATGCTAAAAATACTATTACTTCACATGCTATAAGTACAGTCACTCTGGTTCATTTAAGGCAGTGGTTCCCAACCTTTTTTTCGCCCCGCAGCCCTAAAGAAATTTCACTCGAACCTCGCACCCCCTGAAATTTAGACTTTAGGAACTACTGAACGTGTTAAATATATGGTAGGATTGAATCTTTTCAGCTATGTATGTGACGGCCACTAAATAACGATACTTAACTCTAAAATGAAAACAAAGTTAATCCACTGCATAATAAATAAAAATGCCAACATATAGCCAATATCCTATTATTTACCTGGACTTTTCTCGCACCCCCTGGAATATCGTCTCGCACCCCCAGGGGGTGCAAGCACCCCAGGTTGGGAACCCCTGATTTACGTGACAGAAAAGTTTCTCATTGATTATTTTTTTAAATTATCCTAATACTTTGGAGCATAACATGTAACTATTACCAACCCATATATTCCGATTTCAATGCACATCCACATCTTTCTAGATCAGACATGTCGAATCTTTTGGCTTGCCTACAGTAGTTTGCATTGAGTCTGGAGGAATTGTCTTGGGACACATATAAATAACAACATTCATTTATTTTGGGGGGTCTTGTGAGGTCACATTATTAGCTGGCCAATGGCCCACGTCTGTGGGTTGGACACGCTTGTTCTAGAATGATGATACCATTTTATGCTTCTCATACAATTTTCCTTCCACCTCCCCTTTTAATTTTCTTATTGAAAGCAGGAAATCTAATCTGTTGAAAAGGTTTTTGGATTGGGATAGTAACTAATGAAACTAACAGGTAACCTTTTTAGTTACATAGAGAAGCTATATAGAGAAGCTATCAGTTTTAATTGTATCCATGCCACAGGTAGAATTCCTTGCTAACACTAAGGTAGTACCAGTCTAAATTGTTATCCACCTTAATTCTTAATTTCTTCTGAGTTCTGGTTATGTCTAGAAAGTTATCTTCCATCTTATGTATTTGCATTCATTTAGGCAAATGTAAAACTTACAACAGAGCCATAGTTTACTGCTAGAGTCTGTAGAGACCATGGAAGACCAAGGCCAACGAGAATATCAAAGACATTGCTTCCGATGGAGTTAGAAACGGCCATGTCACCCATTCCTGCAACACAAGAAAGTAGATAAATCAGAATTACTGCAAAACAGAGCTACTGAAGCAGGTCTCTAAATCTATAGCTGGGCATTGCTTTTATTATACAGCTAAGATGTTGTAAAAGCATCTGTAAGCTTTCTTCAGAATGAAGTATAAGCAGAAGTTAAGAAATGGAGAAATTACTGCTCCAATGTTATTATGGAGATATTTAAAAAGCCTCCCTACCATTTGTCTTTTAGGGTGAATGGATGGGGGGGGGGGTTGCTTGAGGCTTCCTGTTCATCCTGTTTTTGTCACTGTTTTCATTAGCATAACTTAGTATACAGCAAAAGTGGTTGCAACATATTGCTTTCAATAAAGAGTTTAAAGTGAAGTTTCACATGAAACTCCAAAGTTTAGAGTACATAATGACTATAACTCTACTGCTCTTTTCTTTCTTCTCCGTGAGAGAGATATTATCTATTTGGTTGTTCTCAGTTTTCTAGAGAATGTTTTTTTTTTCTTTTTGAGTCATTGACAACAAGATACAAATTCAGCAGAGAGAGAACAGATTTAAAGATGAAATGAGCTTAATAAAACAATGTGCCAAACTACTATAATATATTTTAATATTAATAGATATATCAAAGTGTTTAATAACACCTGGTAATGATAAAATGAAAATAATAATGATATAATGTTACTTTCACTAGAATTACACTGGTAGTGAATACTAACAATAAATGCAATCATTATTGTATTCTGAGTACAATGATAACTGTATCAAAGATAATTTACATGTAAAGCCCTCCATGGCATAGCACCGGGTTACTTAAAGGGCTGCCCTTCTCCCATTGTTCTGCCTATCTGGTACATTCAGGCAGAGTAGATATGCTCCAGGTCTCCTCTTTTAAAAGTTGTCATCTTGCAGGGCCTAGAAAGTTGTGCCTTCTCTAAGGCAGCCCACACCCTCTGGAATAACATCCCTCCACAGATGCTGAGGCCCAGAAATTCCCTCCTAGGGCTCTGAAAAATCTTTAAACCTGGCTTTCATCCCAGACCTGGGATTAATGTATGTAAGAGATAAATTGTCTTACTTGTTTTAATAGTTGTTTAGTCTTGTTTTATTTTATGTTTGTTTTGATTTAGCATTATGTTTTTATAAGATACCCAGTGTCCAATGAAGTAGGAGGCTATATTAAAGCTAATAATAATGCTCTCCCTGGCTCCACCCAGTTGCCATCCACTATTGCCCCCTTCCCACTTCTCAATGTGGCTTTTGATTTGAAAAAAGCTGTTGAGTCTAAAGGATTGGAGAAGGATTAGAGAAAAGATTAATCTAATCCAGGGATGTCAAATTCCTGGCCCGGGGGCTGGATGAGTCACATGCTGGCCACGGTTTAGCAAAGGGAGGAAAAGTCCCGATACGTCACATGATGCCGCCGTGATGACATGTGTTTGACAGCCCTGATCTAGTCTATCATTTCCCTCCAAAAAAGCAACTCTTCTACAGCATTTGCTGAGATGAAACTAATATTGAAAAGTTATATCTCTTCTTAACACAAAGGTAATAGTCAGCAATCAGGATTAAAAACCTGTCCTCCATAAATTATTATCATTGCCTATCTTGGAGTAGCACATTCCCTGAGATAGATGCATTCTGTGGGGAACACAACCATATGTGAAAATGAAAAGAAAAGAAGCATGTTAGGAGAGAAGGTAATAAGAAATTCTCTTCCCCATGCTAACATTTTCAAAATTCAGACTTCTTGAATCTTTCCCCTCTTAATTACAGCCCTTAAATGACTCTGCTAAATTTTACTATAATCCTGACCTAGAGCATACCTCTTCTGCCTGACCATATGGGATGAAATGTAGTGGGGAAGAGGCAGTCTCTCAAATAACTGGCCTGTGCTATGAAAGGCTCTAAACGTCAAAACCAGCACTGGGATTAAAATTTACCTTAATTCTAACCCCAATGGTAAATCCCAATCCTTAAAAAATTGTAACACTAAGGAGTCTGATAGTCATATAGTTCCAACTGATAGTCATATAGTTGCAACCAAGCATTCCAACATGCTTGGTTGCAATTTTCTACTCATTTTCTGTTTTTAAAATATAGAACTACATCCTGTATGCCTAGAATTAGATCCTGCATGGAAAGATACTAATCTTGGCATGGTTGCTGCTGACGTATTTGTTTTCGGCAATCATGTGGTCTACCAATATCTCTGCCATATGTTGCATCATAGGAATATTATGTCTTTAGCATAATACATGTAGTGTTGTAGAGATGAAAAAAAATCTAGGGCCCTCCAATTTAGAAGTCAGGCCAATACATGTAATATTGGGATAGGTGAGCCAAAATATAAAGTGGATAAGGCTGTGATTTTCAGTAGCTATGATCAGAATCAGAATGTGTTCTGAGGGTTACAAAAAGAGAAATAAAAGAAAAAGAAAAATAAGGAGGATGGAATTTTAAAGGAAGAAGAAAAGGAAGAAATTGTCATCCGCGTAATCCATTATAACATACTTATGGTGAAAAATCAAAGAGAGATGGGGAAGAGAAAGAAAAGGTCATGCAAGTTTAGAGACATTCCTTATCCTTCTTCATTATTATTTTTTGTCTACCTATCTGAACAAAGACTACTCTTTTCCATATTATGAATATATATTCTCTATTGTAGCAATTGTTATTTCTTTACCCTGAAGCAGAATTAAAGAATGCCTTTTAAATATCTTCAAGAACTATAATATTCATATATAACAAATTATAAATATACCTTGTCTTGCCACAATAAGGCTTGCCATGCAATCTGGTACACTGGTTCCAGCCGCCAGAAATGTGATCCCCATTATCACATCTGGAATACCCAAAGTGAAACCAATGACTGTGACCTAGAAAAATAAAATGAATTGTCAGGATGCTTAAACACTTATCTATATCATTTGGTTTTCAATGAGGTGTTCTGTGGATGGAGACACTTTAGATTTTCCTACTGATCACCTTATGGCTACAACTAATTTCTGCCGGAGCAGTAGTCCTTATTAGAACACGGGCTGAAACAGTTATTAGATCCAACTGGATTCCAAGAAGCCTATGCTGCAATTGGTTTGGGTGATATTATGGATGAAACCTAGAATAGGGAGCTTGCAGGTACTCTCAGCAATTGTTACTGAATGAACACTCTGGTCTGGTCTGCTGCAGTGTATAAAAAGACCTGTAGTACTAACATGGTAAGGCAGACTGCTAGAGTAGGGGTCCCCAACCTCTGGTCCATGGACCAGCACTGGTCTGCAGCATGCCAGCAACCAGGCCATGCAAATGAAGTCCCATTAGCGGGATGCGGGCAGCATGCAAAGCCATGTCCCTTCTGATCCACGGAAAAACCTGTCTCCATGAAACCTTTTGGTGCCCAAAAGGTTGGGGGCCACTATATTAGAGGCCAGATGGAGGAAAAACAGAATTTAAGAACCACAGCTTAAAAAACCACTTCATGGCTTGTGAAAGGAGAAGAATCTTCATTGCAGGCAATGGCCAGTCCATAACCAAGGCTAGTACTATATGATGTAGTGCAAATAAGTACGAGAGGGTTTTTTTCCCCCCTGTGCATATGGCACCCACAACCTTCTGACCTGCTAAGTTGTTTCAGGTTGTAAGTAGATGACTTGCACTCCCATTCCTTCTTCCTATAATTGTTTTAGAGAATATCAAGGTTTGTACTACTTTTAATGAGTTTTTTTGCTGACAAAATATGATACATTCAGATTATCTGGATGCCATGTTTCATAGATATTCAACAATCAGGGGGTTTAATAGCTAACAATAGTTAATTTAATCAGTTTCAACTGTGATGCTTGAATCACTGTCTCCTTAGAGGATACGCTATATAATTAGTCCCATGGATCCTTGCTCAACTTCTTTTGTGAGTAAAGATGTCTTATTTAGCGAGATAAATGCTTCTCAGAGCACAAGATGCCTCCTTGTTTAGAGGAGACCTCTTCAGATGGCCTTGAAGCACTCAGAGTTGGGCAACTTGTTAGGATTGGCTAGAGGATGTGGGTTATTACAAAAAGATTTGGCAAATGCACATAAGACAGACAGATTGTATAAATTTTCCTGTCTTGTAAGAATAGGCATAATTATTTGGGAAGGTGGAACAAATGGACAAGTTCAGAAATTTGTTTTTTCCTGAGATTTGTGGGGAAGGGAATGCCCACAAGCCTATTTTAAGATACACATCATAGTTTTCCATATCAAAATGGCAGAAAATGGTACTTCTGTTTTTTTGCAATTACGATGAAGGACTGTTAACCAAGGAGGGGCCAAAAGTGCACCTGGGGCATGAGATTTGTGACTCCTGATATAATCCCACTGATTGCTTGGCAACTGTTGGGAGGACAATAATATTTCCCTCATGAGCTTCTGGTTGATTAGTGCTGAAAACGAAGGCTAGATTTTACTGTGAGAAGACAGTGCATTTACCAAATCTAAAGCTATCTCACTCAAACCCAGAGGTGGTATTCAGCAGGTTCTGACCAGTTCTGGAGAACCGGTAGCGGAAATTTTGAGTAATTCGGAGAACCAGCAAATACCACCTCTGACTGGCTGGGTCTTCTTTGGTTGCCCTGCACAGGAGAACGGAGGTGGAAATCAGGTTAGTGGGGTGGGGAGGGAATGGGATTTTGCAGTATCGTTCCCCTGCCACGCCCACCAAGCCACGCCCACAGAACTGGTAGTAAAAAAAAATTGAATCCCACCACTGCTCAAGCCTAATACATACCATCCAGACCATTATATAGGAAAAGGCTGCAATCCAGAGTGTAGATGAAGCAAAAGTGACCAAGAACCACTTCTCCCAGTAGGGTTTGCTACAGTTGGGCACCGTGAAGTATAAGAGCAAAGATAGAGGCCAGGTGAAGAGCCACTTGATAATTTCTATTATGCCAGCTATAAAAATAAATCAATGCATTTTATAGGGTCCAAAGAAATTTACTTGCACTTCTTATGCCACACTTTTTATAAATAATCAAAGCTATGCTAAAAACAGCAGTGGAGAATATGGTTAGTCAAAATATAGAAATCTGAGTAATTCAGGTCAGCAAACTTTCATATATTTCAACATTTTTGAAATTTCTTCTAGAGTCCATAGACCTGTGACATTATTCATTGGAAGGGGAACACATAAATCTAATATAGATTTACAGGATGTTACAGGATTTTATAAGATTTTCCCCTAAAAGATGAGAAGGCAATTTGGTGCTAGACAAAATTTTTAGAACCGCAAGGTCCACAATCCCATTCTTGCTGGGGTTGGTGGAAACTGAAGTCTAAAACATCTGGGGGGAACACCAGGCTGCCTATCTTAACCCAAAAGGGAAAAAAGTAAATTAAGCTGTCAAATCCTACAAAGCCCTGAATATAGAAAAGAATATCTGGCATTTATTATTCCCCCTTTTCCTACAGGGCGTCAAAGAATACAATTATTTAAGGCCAGTAAGTTAATTTGAATTAATTTTATCTGCATGGGAAAAGAATTGAAGAGAAAGTTTATGAAGGTACATTACTTGTTATACTCTGTTGTTCTAATACCATAAAACACAATAAAGTAAATATCTCCAAATTAGATATTTCAACTTTAAGGAATGATGAAAGACAAGGATTTGAAATGTTAAGGAAAGATACAGTAGGTAGAAATACAGGAATTTCTTACATGGTGGATCAAAAGGAGTGTAAGGGCCATGGTCATCGTCATCATCTTCTTCCTCCTCCTCCTCCTCCTCATCATTCTCATTGTTTTCATTGTCATCATTTTCATTCTCTGTTTCATTGCCACCCTCCGCAGCCTCTTCATCTCTTCTGGTTCCATTTGTGCTTCCTTTAGCAGAGTTGCTGAGCCCTGATCCATTCTCCATGGTATGTTTGAAAGGGACCTTGATGGCTATCTCTGATTCTCCATTGGTATACACTCGGCTATTGATTAATCTTTGTCTCTGGAAGAAAACAAAACTAAAGTGAAATCTGCAGGTATTTTAAAAACATAAATAAACCAAATGAAAAGACAAAGAGATGTGCAAAACCAAATGACCAAATTATTTGTTCAAAAATATTTGGCTGATGCCAGTAATGTAATCAGGACATTGTGATTTTAAAGCATATGTAACTTTTATTGATGCCTTAAGCCTTGTATACTCATTCCTTGAGATGCATATAAAATGCTGAATTCAATAGCACTTGAATAGACAGGGAATGTTTTATTTTTAAATACTTATTAATCTTTTAGCTTTAAATATGTTTGCAAATAACCAGATATTCAGTGCAGATTGACTTTTGAGGAACCTGAACTTTTATCAGAGCTCCAAAGTCTAATGATGCCATCCCAAGGACAAAGATTCTGGAAGAGTATGGGAGGAGTCAGATTATTACATGCCATATCAAATTCTAGTTTGCCAGGAATTTACATCCTGCTGATCCAAACACTCCTTTTTGTGTCCTGTTATAACTGAGTGCAGCAAGCAGACTCAAAATATAGTGCTTTTACTTGTTATATGAACAACAAATTCCGGTTAGTATAACGTTACCAAGATACAAATGAAGACTTCTGGGTTAAATAGACATCTCCACAAGCAAGAGAAACTTAGGACTGAGCAGCAGATAACATTCTTTTACTGCTTTCTTCCTGCTAAGATAATACTTTCTGAGCAAGATGAAAGGAAGCAAAAGCAACATACAGTTAATAGTTGGAGTAAGAGAAAAGGTGAGTTATAACATTTGAATAAAACTTAGTAAATACCTCATTGATCAACATGCGACTGGCCATGGAGAGCCGGGTCCTGGGAGGAAAGTGACTTGTGATCATAATCCGTAGTCCAGCCTCTGAAAAGGACAGCTGGTGTGGATATGCAGAGAGCAACTCATCCACCATGATCACAGAGGCTTTGCGGTGGAAATTTCCTTAAAAAATAATTAACAAAATTGGAAGGAAAATGTCTTTTGCATCATCAATTTTTCTTATCTGAAATTTCTATAATTTATGGTATTTTTTGACAATTCCATTTAACATTTTAGTAGCATCTCCCTAATTTTTAGAAACATACAATAATTAATTCTGAAAAATCTACATGTATTAAATCCATTCACCACTTTCTTTTGCCTCTATTATCATATTTTTCTATCTGCTCATATTGGCCAAATATATTTTTGATAAGCACTACAACATTTAGATCAGAGGTCTCCAAACTTGGCAACTTTAAGACTTGTGGACTTCAACTCCCAGAATTCCTCAACCAGCCATGCTGGCTGGGGAATTCTAGGAATTGAAATCCACAAGTCTCAAAGTTGCCAAGAATGGCGATGTCTGATCTAGATATTTATATATAATTTATGACAGAAAAATAAATTGTAGATAACTTTAAAATGATAATTTATGGATATTTACCAGAAGTATATGGATGCTTAATTTTTATAAATTACAGATTTTTACCATTCTTAACTAGTTACGGACTACAACAATAATCCACTATGCTCTCAACATTGATCTATATTTTATGCCACATGGTAAGCTAAAAATGTAACAAATTGCAAAAGATTTAAAGTTATTGTTTCAGCCATTCAGACTCCTAATGTAAACAGCAGCTTAGTTTTACAAAGCAGAACATAATAGAGGATTGTCCTCCAGATACTTTTTCTTACTAAACCTAAAAAGACATGTGGGAGGAGACACGGTAAAGAGAGGAATGGGAAAGAGGATGTAAGATTGCTCAGTTATTTCCACTATAAGCAGGAAAAGCTGAGTAATTTGTTAGCTCTCTGGCTGCGAGCAAATGAAGCTTGGCTTCTTCATCAGATTTGAAAACTGGCTGTTAAAGACAGTGAGAATGGACTAATTTTGCCTCTTCGCTTTATTTTATTTAAGACCTTCCTATCTCATTCTTCAGCTAAACCTGAAAGAGCATCTAAAGTAATGATTAAAGGAATGCTTAATGACAACAGAAAAACAGTTTACTTATTGTATAAAAATTAAATATATAAAAGCTGAATATCTAAAAATGAATACAGGATAGAATAGAAATGAACTATTTCCAAATTGTATTCAATGTGACTTAATTTACAGTGAGATAGTGATACGAATCAGTGCCAGAATATGAATAATCTAAAATAGTTTATAAAAGAAAATTCAGTTTGTTCAACTAGCACTAGATCTTTATACAGTTAATAGAAAAAATTATATACCACATGAGGCTAGTAAAATATTTTAAAATCTGCTGAGAAAAAAATGACTCTACTGCACTCATAAAACCAATCTTCCTTCCTTCCTTCCTTCCTTCCTTCCTTCCTTCCTTCCTTCCTTCCTTCCTTCCTTCCTTCCATCCATCCATCCATCCATCCATCCATCCTCTGCTTGGAATTCTCATTGAAATTGATTTATATTACAATTATGTTCAGTGGAGTGGGTAGAAGAAAGTCTAATTTTATCTCAATCAGTTGTGCCCAATGGTTGCTATGTGCAGCAAATAACAGCTTTGGAGTTGGGACTTGTAAATGAGGGTCCATATTATTGTTATTGATTGGTAAATAAAATGGGAAATCCCATAGATGAAATTCAATTGGATCAAAAATAATGCCTAGATGGCCCCAAGTTTCTAGCTTATTGAATATTAGAGTTCTACAAGTAAGTAGGTTGACTTACTGGAACAGTTACCTTTCTTTAGTAATACCACTGTAGCATCACAATTGCTGTTGTCATCCATCTCTGTATTATTTGCTAATCCGTTCACCATATTTGTTACATTCTTTGTCCTCCGTTCAAACATATGCTGAAGATTGGCATTAAATCTACACAAAGAGGAAAGAATTAAGAATTATTTTAGGCACTGTCAAGATGCTATATGACCCCTGGTCTCATTTCAGATTCCTGACTGAATGTGGTGGGGAAAACAGCAGTGCAGCTACTTTTGAATTATTGCTTGGGATGGCCCAGACAACTTTCATTTGGAATCCTGCAACCTTTTACTTTACTGATAAAGAATGCTTCCTATTGGGGTACCTTCATGAGGCCCAGTATTTGATGTTTTGCCCAATTTCATGATAAAAGGAATCAGTTTGGCTCCAGCTGGCCCTATAACTTGTCCTTCATTTTAAGTAGCTTGTTTTGTGATATGAGGATGTCTCATGGTGAAGTTCCCCATAATTTCACTTGTCCTGCCAATTGAATCAAATTTTAACCTAGTTCAGAAGTTACTGCTTTGTTCACATTTTTATTTCCTTTTGATATTAAGGGTCTGATTATGCAGAACCTTGACACTATTCTCTCCTAGTTTTGGCATGCTTTGTGATTATCTTGGGAGTCAGAGTTCTACTCACGGATAGGTAAATCCTGCTTATAAATTTACAGTTTATGTTGAAAATGAGCAAAAATATTTTTTGTAAAGTAAAAATAATGCATATGATAAAACCTGTAGGAACAATTTTCTATGACTTATATTAACATTCACTGATCTCAGAACAGTTAAGCCAAGTCAGACCTGCTTAATACCTGGACAGGAGCTACCAATAAATGCAGGGCTATAAATTAGACTTGGCTGTAAAGGAGACAAAAGCAAATGGCTTCTATATTGTTGCCAAGATAACTTCACGGACACGTCTAAGTAGTCATCAAGAGCAGAATTCAGCTTGCAGAAATCTTGGCCTTTGCTTTATTTGATGTACATGGATGGAAAATAGAGCCCTATCTATTTACTTACTTATTTCCCATATTTCTATACTATATTTACATATCGAGCTCTTTTGTTTCCTTCAATAATCTTCTGTTTGTCTATTCTACAAAACATTCTATGTAACAACTTTTTTCCCCCTAGCTGTGGGCTAATAATGAGACAGGCTGCAATATGGATAGATTTGCCATATCTGGATTGCAGAAGGTCAGATGATCACAAGGTTGAAACAAATAAGACACAGAAAATGCTAAATCTTTTTTGCTGCCTTGCAGGTGACCAGTTTTTCTCATATTTTACTAATATGAGAGTAGGATGAGCAATGACAGAAAGTGGAGAAGCCAGGAAAAAAAACCCTCCAAGATGTCTCTGCTAATTAAAATGGGACGATATAACTGCCAAAATATACAAAAATTGCACTATATTGAGGAGAAGCTTTCAAGCAGATGCAAAAGGACATTGTAGAAGCTGTATGTAACCCAAATTTTTCTAAGATAAAATAACATGGAATAATAAATAGGTCGGGACCTATTATACTTACTTCATGATAAGAATGTAGATGAAGTACATCAGCACTAGGATTAAAGACTCCCACCTGTGATCAGCCAAGGAGGAAAAAAGAGAAAAACAATAAGAAGCACAGTTCCATGACTATGATTGCCTTCTCTTCTGAAATTCAGGCCAACGACACAAGGAAGGGTGAATGATGACAAGTGTTGAGCATAGAGGGCAAGATACCTTCTAATAATAATATTGCTTATGGAGAGTGAGATGCCACCTGATGGTACAAGGAGAAATCTGGGGTATCAAAAATGAAGCATAGCTCATCATAACCATTCACTAAAAACTGCAGTACAATTCCTTATTACCAAACTCCTCTTTATAAATGTGAACTTGCCATTACATTAAGGTTGGTTGAGAGAATTTATTTGATCCTGATGGGTGATCTAAAAGTCCTGGCAAAGACTTTTTTCACTTTTAATTTTAAAAAATATTTAGACAAATCATTGTATTGTTTAGTTTTTCTACGGGATGGAAATTGGTCCCTGAGCTGCTTAGCAGAACACTGGTTTTCCTTACTTTTCTTAATTGGCAAATGACAACCGTGCTACTTACCAAGCAACTTTTTCATCATAAATAAACTGAGGGAAAAAATGGAAAAATAAGTATTACTGTGTAGAACTGCTAATTAAATATCTACTGCTTTTTAAAAAAAGAATATCATATTTCAGCATTTTATGCTAGCTCTGTAACCCAAATTCTTCTACACATTTCATTCTTTCAGACTGTTTAAGCATTTGTAATGTAGAACTCCACACATTACATGAATTTTTTGTTTTAAATTAACATGTGAATTAGAGCAGAAAGACAGAGTTTAGATAAATCCGTTATATTTATAAATACCATTTCAGAGTTCAAGTTTCCAATTTAACTATCCAAAAGCAATTTATTTAATTTTAAATAAAATGTATATATTAGATCATATAGAGAAGCAAATAAGTGTGATATAAAATTTTGTTACGTAGTTGTACATGCAACACATATGACTCTCCACTTTGCACTGTGATCTTCACGTGAAGAACTCAGCTGGACAAATAGCTAGTCATATGGCATCTTTCGGAATAGTGCCATTATTTTCATATTTTGTAAATACATAAAATTGGAATAGTATGTCATACATCCACCTTTCTCTTGATGTCACTTTATACACACAAATCCATTCTGAATGTGGGAAAACTTCATAAGATTGAAACCTTCCATCTCCATATTAAAATCACAGTCCCTGATTCTAGCAGCTCCTTCAGCAATCAACATGTAGCTCTATTCCTCTTGTGGGAAGTAGACCAGAAAGGAGCTTTCCTCTACATGACCACCAGGGGGCACTCACATTCTGTGCTTCTACTTTTTTTCTTTCAGATGTGCCTATAATGATGCTAGCAAATTAAAAAGTGCCTGGAAATGAATATTTGGGAGTACTATTTGCATGTTTACATTTCTGGCTTTCTACTTCATTTATAGTTAGCTGGTTAAAAATATACATTATCTGTTTGTTCTTTACTTATCACCTGTAACTACAGGCCTCATTATGAAGTAACATACAGGAGGGGAAACATATTCACGCAATAATAAAATATCATAGCAGAGGTAGACGGCAAAAATTGATTTCTGATTTCACAACCTTCCTTTTTTGCCACCTGAATTTGGCTAAAGATTCCTAGAATATTATATGACAATGGAAAAAAAGAAAATGCTCCTGTACAGTCCTTAACCAGAGTGTGGTGCTCCTAACTAGAAAATGAACTAATGTCCAGATCTCCATTGTACTAGGTGGCTGCAATGGTTTCTTTTGCCACTTCCACTCCCTGGGCCATGCATGCTTTCCTGGTCCTGCTTTGGCTTTGCTTGAGCAGAGCCTAATTCTGCTACGGAATTATTTTGCATGAGCCCAAAGAAGGCACAATTCCTTAAGGTGTCAAGGGATTAAAGTGAATGTGTCTGTTAAAGCAGACTCCCTTGTTTTTTTCCAGGCTTGGCAAGAGGCTGGAGAAAAAAGGGGGAAAGGGACTGTTTTAATCAACAGTAGCGCAGCATTATGCTTATTTGAGGCTTCTAAGCACTTCTTCCACCTTACTTGTGCACAGCTCTACTTTCCCTTTCAAAATTTCCATATGAGATATGGAATAAAGAAAACAAAGCAGAGAAAGTATTGAGGACACAGCAGCAAACAACTTAAGGAAGGAGAATAAAGTAATCCCATTGAGTGGTGAGAGACACCACCTCCTGTACTTGAAATATTACAATCATGATTCATACAATTTATTCTTAACTATCAGCATCATGCAGAGTAATATTAGCACCTTCAAAATGCAACCAATCACTTTCTCACTATACAAATAACAGCTATATAAATATTCAATGTAAGTAGTATTGAACCTGCATATTGATCTTCCATGTCAATTGGATGGGAATTTCAGTCACTAAGCAATGCAGTCAATAAAGTGCAACTGCTTTGTGCTGGAAATCCATGCAGTCCCAGTTGTCATCATTAAGTTAATGTCCCAGTTGTTAGGCATGGCAACTTTCTGCCGGCTTCCCACAATCAAGGAAATTCTAAGCTCCAAGCCCTACAGGGTGGGGAGGGACCAAGGGGATGCTTGTGGATGCATGGGAGGAGATTTGTGAGGGTGTCGGAACCTCTTGGATTTTCAGCCCCAGAATCAAGAAGCTTCTGAAACTCTGGGAGTGAAAATCTAAAAATTCTGCTTGGATTTTGGCACAGGGCATCTCCAATCAGTCTTTAGACCCTGGGAGCTGGCTGAAAAACATCCCATGCCAAAATCCTAATTGGATTTCAAGATGAAGCTTTGTCATCCAGTCCTTAGAGATGAATAGGAGGCTTCTCAACTCTGGGCTCTGGCTGAAAATACCCCCGTGCCAAAATCATGCTTGGAGGCAACATATCTGACCTTCCCTTCTGGCTTCCCCATTGATTTTCTAGGGAAGCCAGCAGGGAAGATTACAAATGGCATTCACATGATCACAGGGCATTTGGCAACCGGTTGTAAGTGCAGATGAGCTGCCAAGTGCTCAGGTCACATGTCCACAGGGGGACTGCACTTTCCATAACTTCAGGGACCAGTTGTAAGTCCCTTCATTCAGCACTGTTATAACTTTGAAGGATTGCTGAAGGAATGGTCAGAGGTCAAGGACTACCTGTCCAATATCAGAAAGGAAATGATTTCTTGAATAAATCGCCAGCCCATACCAAATATACCACAAACAACAATACAAACATACTTCTCAAAATGGAACGTTATTATTTAAATCTAAAACTAATACATTACAATTTTTAAAAGAGAGACATAAAGCCTTTTAGTCTATATAATGTAATACTTTAAACTGGTTAACAAAGCAGAATAAAACTATAATATTCCTACAGAAACTCCTGGAAGAGATAGGTGCTATATAATATGTAATGTCTGGCAGATTGTACTATCCCCTTTTCCTTGCAAAAATGCTACCCACTGGTAGATGGGGATTGGTATCTTGTTAGAGGAAAATCATTTTATGTTCAGAATTCCAATTTCTGAGATCCTGAAGGAATAAGGGTAAGTAATGATCCCTATATTTAATACACAACCAGTATTCAATTGCATTATGTGCCAGATTAACTTTTTCACCTGCCCCACAAACTTTTGCACTGGGTTTCTTGGAATCTCAAGATATTATTAAGAAAATCCCAGGTCAGATAATAAACGATACAGAATCATGCAATATAAAATAATCTCTTTTACTTTTACAATATTCTGTGAAAGAATTTGACTTTCAGGCAGTTGCCTGTAGGTTCGCAACCCAGCTGAAATCATGAGAATATGCTAGCTGTACCAGGTAGTGCTACTCACTATAGTAACAATATGTTGAATTTATTTACATAAAAGACTCATGTAGATATGGCTTGCAAAAATCATGACTGCCACTAAATAGCAGCAAAGAGATAAATAGACACCTTGTTTTTTGTCATCAACTAGCATTAATCCAGATTTTGGCAGCCCAGAATTGTAGCCCTACTTGAAAGTACACAAGTACAATAATGTTCTTAGGCTACCATTTTAGAGCCATTGTTATAGAACATACTAATGACTAAGGTCATGCACAAGTGTGATTTCTGTCTTCATAAATTCAAGCTGATACCCTGAGACATACAGTATATCTTAAAAGATATCTCAAGTCTTCGCCTTTCAGACCTCCATAAAACTGAGTTAATCCAAAGGGTCTGTTGGTGTCACCCAATGTGTTTATTTTCGTGACATTTATAATTTTAATTCCTATTGTAGACATTTTATTTAAATGCTTGCTTTTCTTGTAATTACTGTAAATTGCTGAAAGACTGACAATTGCAGCTGGCATGAATAGGGTAAATAAAATACAACAGGAAATAAACATCTAAAGATGGAAAGGAAGGGATAACAACTATCTCTGCTGTAAATAGCACAAAATAATGTATTGGCAATTCACAAAACAAATTTTATGTCAATGTTCAATTATTAAGACATATTTTCTGAATGACAACGTAGGTTTTAAGATTTCAGAATGTATACTATTTGCTTTACATACTAACATTTGGTATGTTCAATACAGCTGTGGCTATCTAAAACTGAAGACTCACATTCTAAAGTTTTGAAACAAGCATTTTCAGATCACAATGGACAAAATCTAAACAGTTTTAATCTAAATCACTAAAGGATAAAGTCAAAATTGTTAAGGAGTGTGACTTGCATTCAATTAAATGGAATGTCCAGAAGAGCAAAACTATCAATATATACTGGTAAAAACATCTATCATTACAAAAACCTTACAAAATAGAAAAATCAACACTCTTTTGTTTGTTAAGGGCAGTCAGAGACTGAGTTCATATCACATTCTTATCCAAGGCCAAATTAACCATGGCTTATTCAATTGTGGATTTGTACAATACATCTAATCGTAAATTAGCTATGCAAACTGGGCATATACACAAATGCAAACCAAAATTTTATTGGTTAGGTCAGTATGACATGCGTACATACACAACCAAAAATCTTTAATTAGGAGAATAACCACTTACCAAAATAAGTGCAGCAACTGAGCAGGTATAATACACTGAATCTCTCAAGAGGCTCCAAGAAGACAGTACAACTATCTGAGAAAAAAAGCAAAAAGCAAATGAATTGGTGAGAATAAACTTTGCATCAAAAACAAATAGCAAGAAAGGGGTTTTAGAATAATTTGGAACTTTGGGTGCTGTTTCCCTTATACAATTATTCACTATGAGAGATCTGAAAAGGTTGCCATTTTGAAATCCAAGTTTACTTCAAAGAAAAATACCTAGTTCCACACAACAAGAGATTAGGTCTCTATTCTGATTTGTGATTTAGCTTTGAGTTCAAAGGGAATCAGGGCATTTTAGGCCAGATTTTTACTTTTCTGAAGCAAGTTCTGCCCGGCTCTGTCTTAATTGAAAGCCTTCTCCAACGCTGTGCACCCCGATTTTCAATTCCAGAGCATTGCTCCACTGCAAATGATGGCTGTGCAACATTCTCTCTCTCTCTCTCTCTTACATATGCACACAAACATGGCAGGGATTGACGTTAGTTGTATAAAATATTGATAGAAAGGATACTGGTTTCCTAAATGATAGCGAGCTTTGGGATGGGTAGCAAGCTAATAGGCAAATGGGCTCAGGGGAACTGACAAGGCAGCCCAGCAGTCAGCTAGAGCAGGGGTCGCCAACCTTTTGGACCTCAGGGACCACCAAACTCATAATTTTAAATCCCAGGGACCACTAACCGGTTATGTGGGTGTGGCCTAATTTGTGGGTGTGGTTTGGTGATCATGTGACTGGCTGGGCATGGTTTGTATGTAAATATTATAAATATGTATATAAATATTGAATATTTTATAAAAAAATAACAACTTTTACTCAAAATCAGGCAAAGCAGGCAGGCAGATTGAGTTGCTCACAGAATCACAGATTCATTCAGAGATCTATCTATCTGCCATTGGCTAGCTCAGTCTGTCACATAAAATTTGCCTGCAAGCAAACTCACAAAATTAACTCACAACACACCATGTATGTAAATATTGATTTTTTTATAATAAAAAGAGCAACTTTTACCCAAAATCAGGCAAAGCAGGCAGGCAGATTGAGTTGCTCACAGAATCATTCAGTGATCTATCTATCTGCTATCGGCTAGCTCAGTCCATCACATAAAATTTGTTTGCCGTGAGTCTGCACTGAATAATAGAACCTTCAGTCCTAAGGGAGGTTCGGCTGTGCTTAAAAGCAGAGCCAAAGATCTAAAGACTAGCTAGAAAGCAATAAATCCAACAATTTCCTGCTTCCTAGCTAATCTAAATCTCCTGGCACAGCAGAACAGATGATGGTCGGAAAAAGGAAAAATAGCAATTTTGCAGGCAAGTTTGCCAGGTAAGGAGTGAGTGGGCAGGGAGGGTTCCTGTGGGCCATGTGGGCTGCGCATCCTTGTGTTTCTGCGCATCCTGGATTAATTGCTTTGGAGGTAAGATTTCTCTGTGGCCCACCAGAATTTTCTCACGGCCCACCAGTAGGGCGTGGCCCACCAGTTGGTGACTGCTGAGCTAGAGCAAAGGTCTCCAACCTCCAAAACTGGCTGAGGAATTCTGGGAGTTGAAGTCCACAAGTCTTAAAGTTGCCAAGGTTGGAGTTCCCCTGAGTTAGAGGGACTGGGGAGAAGCAGATCTCTGTACATTGTATCTGGGAATGCTCGCAAACCTGCATAATGAGATGTCCATGACAGGTCTTGCTGACTGAGGCTAGTTTGTCAGTTTGGCTTGGGAGATACTGTTGTGTAAAAGAGGGGGCAGGAGAGCAAGAAGATGAGGCACTGGTAGAGAAATGTTACCCCCCCCCCCTTCCCTGTGTAAATGGGTCGGTCTGTCCTACCTTTCTTCAGACTTGGAGTAGACCCATCACAGTTATTCATTGGGGACTGGCTTCTCTGGTTTGGGGGCTGAACAATGGCTCAGCTTTTAGAAAGGAAACACACGCCTCTGAAAGGGATGGGTTTTTTTCTGAGAATCCTCACAGCAAGAAGAGAATTCTTTTTTCCCCTGAAACCATGTTCCAGAAGTAGGAACAAGTCAGGGCAGACTATCCCATACCAAGTATGTGTCAAACTATTTCTGAATCTGACCTTGGATATGGACCAAGAGATCACTTATGAACATGTATGAACATTTATGGGGGGTAGGGAGGGAATGATTATGCCAGCAATCAGAAAGAGATTTATGATCATTAGTAACGGATTTATTATTGCTGCTGGCATCTTTGTTTTAGTGAGAACTGAAAATTGACCCCTGTAGACTCCTTTGCTTTTCCTTCTTTAATGCTAGAAAAGAGGAACACTTTTCCTCTAAGAAACTAAACTATATATGTTTAAGCATTGAGATGACAAATCAGATGACATCTGGAAAAAATTCAATTTTTGAATGCTGATTGATATAGATTCACACAAGCTAAAAAACACAATATATAAAGAAATCATGTGCCTCCAATTCATTCCTTGTAATGCTAATAAATGTTTCAATTCTTCATAAAATGAAGCTTTCCGAAATATGAATACCTCTGATTTGCAAGGATTTGATTCATTATATCAACACAGGTTTCTTATTGCCCCATTGCTGTTTCATTTTGCCACTGCATTAAGGCGAGGCTTTGAGTTATTGTCATCAAATTCCAAATCGCTCTGTGGGCTGTAGTACTAGGATGTTTCAAGTCAGTTTGGCGGTAATATATTTCACACTAGCTGTAGAATTCTGATTCCATACAAGAATGTATTTTTTAAAGTTTATTTAGTGGCATGAATCAAGACTATTTTATTTATTATTTAAAATAACCCTGCATTATTTACAACATTTAGTGCATTTAGTACATCATATGCTGCAAACGTTTTCAGAGAGTATTTTCTACCAAAACAATCACACCCAAAATCATTTTAAAGGGTATAGCAAGTTCATGTAAACAATCATGATAAAAGAGATCAAAGACTGAATCCATTTGAATTACTTGGAGTTGGTAAAATGCAGAACAGGAGAACAGAAACAGCATTTGAATTATCGCTGCTCAAAGAATATTTGGCACAAATACATTGGGCAGAACCCCCACGCCACCACTCAGGCCCCCCAACTATGCATCTAGCCATCTATCAGATTTCTTTCTTAAATGGTAGTTTAGTTTAATAAAGTTTATATGACCCATAATCTGCAAATTAAAACCAGGGAGGAGATTCTGTTGGCCAAACCTGCTGTAGTTGTGGATCCTTCACTGTCTATTTCTATGTTGCTAAATATTACATTTCTTTTACATAAAATTAGTACTTCCTTGCCCTGGAATGACTTACTGCTTTGCAAGAGTTAGTGCTCTTTGGTGCTAACAATACTTTATGGATATAACAGATAAAATTGCTATTGGGAATAATGTGAGGGCTCTTCCTTGATCCTAGCCACAGCATGCCCTGATGTCATCCTCTCATGCTTAGCTCATAACTGAGGCAACTTACATGGTCTTCAACTACTTTGGTTTCAACACAGTATTTTTGCCATGTGTGTGATATGGCATGCTTTCCTGATAATAGGATTGCTAATCTGTTCAGGGGGATGGTATCTATCCAAACTCTACTGGCCCTTTTTATTCTGTCACTTTAACACTGCCATTTCTTTGCAGCCAATAACAGAGTCTGCTTGCTACCTATTACCTCTTTCCATTTCATCCCAAAAGCCCTTCTTTACCTTCTATATCTCCGTAGGGTATTTTTGAACCAAGGTATAGTGCATTCAATCTTTGTTCAGAAATAGCCCAGCTGACAGCAGCAGCACTGCAGAGCTCTTTCCTCCTTTAGCCTTGTACCTCCTCTACGTTGGTTATCTGTCAGCTGGGCATGAATAGATCTTAACTACCTTCTGTTTCACCTTTAAAAAGATATAGGTTGCCCATATACTCCAAAGGTTCAGGAGTGCCTGAAAGTAAAAATGGTGACTGTGCTCATGTGATACAAAGGCTTTTGGGATATGAAAATACTGAGATGAAATGAGGTTTCCAGTTGCTAAAATAAACATATGGAAAGCTTCAGATGGATTATTCGTTCCAAAGTATTTGTTTATAGGACTCAAGTGACTGCCATTACTTCCAGAGCCAAACAGAAGATAAAAGATAGGCATTGTTTAAAAAGTGCTTTAGTCAGGTATGAAATCGGTACATGATTATTGCAAAATTATTCTTGTGTAATTGCTTTTTTTTTTTGTTTCCAAAGTTTTTTATTTTTATTTTACATACATATCAATGTGTGAACAATATTGACACCTGGGTGTTTTACATTTTATATCCAATAACATATTAATAATCATGTTAACTATTCCCCCCATAATTTTATTTCATTCTAGCATTAATACACATCCTTATATTCCATTATAGTCTCCTATTCATTTATATATTCAATATTTCATTATATTGGTTCTTTTATGCTAATCCTCATGTTATTCAAATATACTTAATATCACCCTCATTCGAATTCTAGTTTCCATTCTTTTTCTTACATCATCTTATTATTAAGGAAATGTATACCATTATTTCCCCCCTCTCCAATTCCATCCCAGTTCTAACTTTCAGTTATGCCACTACAGTTCCCAAGAATATTCCTTAATATTTTTTTAATATAACTTTTCATTCATCAAATATATCCTTCCTTTTACCACAAATAAAACACCAGTAATCATATTTAGTACACTTGACAAGTTCTTATAACTCTACTAATAATAATCCTATTCATATTAAATCACCACTTTAACAATCATTCAAATTCCATTTCATATATTCCATTGTTCCCCCTCTCTCTTATTTCCAACCCTATTCTGGCTTTAATTATATCTTTGTTATATTGGAGGAAGAAGAAAAGATAAAAGTAAATTTAAAAAGAGCCAAACAGAATAATACCATTATCTCTTTTTTTTTTGTTTTAAGGTAATAAACATACTCTTTTTAGCTCGCCTCCTATAATCCTCTCTCAAATCTTTATCCCTGTCTACTTCTACATTGTAACCTGTCATTTTAAACCTTTTCCCCTTCTCCATCCTGTTTCATTGTCTAATTTTCAAAATATCTGCTCTTGCTTTTATTCCTCTCTCTGGGGAGTCATTTTACAATTTTATTACCCTATTTAATACATTCTAACAAATCCTTATAATTCTGTTAATAATAATCCTATTCATATTAAATTCCAAACTTCCATTATTTAATTAATCAATATTTCAATACATTATTTTTATGCTAATCACTACATTAACTATCATTCAAATTCCATTTCATATATCCATTATTCCCCCTCTCACTAATTTCCAACCTTATTCTAAATTTAATTATATCTTTATTATATTGGAGAGAGAAGAAAAGGAAAAATAAATTTAAAAAGGATAAAGTTTTTCTTTAGCCATTGTCTTTATTTGTTTTAATGTGTTAAACATTCTCTTCATAGCTCTCTTCCCATATTCCTCTCTCAAATCTTTGTCCCTTTCTGCCTCCATACCTGTCATTTTAAACTTTTTTCCCTTCTCCACCCCGTTCCATTGTCTAACTTTCAAAATGTCTGTCCTTTCTTTTATCTCTCTCTCAGGGGAATCATTTTGCAATTTTATTTCCTCTTTCCACTCCATACTCTCCTTTCTGCTTATTACATCCATTATTATTATATTTATTGTCTCTTCATTCTCATCATCATAGTCTGTCGATTTTTTTCTGTGTTCTCTTCTGATCCTCTAATTAATTCCTCTTCTTCTTGTGCGTCTTGCTTGCTCCTTTCCAGCTTTTTCTCTATGCTCTGCATTTTATTAAGAACTCTTTCCCAGCTGTCCTTAATATCCTTAAATATCGATGCCACTTCTGCCCAGTTCCCATTTTGTTCTTGCTGGTAAGACATCTCATTTAATTTCTTTTAATGTTTTTTTTAAGTCAATAATCCAAATATCCAAAGACAAGTCAGATATCCATGCCAAAATCAGTTCTCACAAAGTTTAAAGTTCTTATATCTTATTTTCAGTCCTTTTGTTAAAACTTTCAAAGTCACTTCAGTATTAATTTCTGCTTCTTGGGAATATCTTGTTTGCTGGTGACACAGTTAAATCCTGTTATTTTAGACAGTTTTCAATTTTAAAGTATCAATCCAAAATAGTAAAAAATCCAATTTTCAAAATATCTGGTTCCAATATTTTAATATGCTTCTGTAAAACAATATTTATCCTCTTTGAAATTCCAATTTTCTGTATTTACTATGTTCCAAAAATTGCCTTCTCCTCTCCTTTTTTCCCTTTTCGGTTTTTAGAATTTTTCTCTTGGTGCTTATACCGCCGCTTTTAATGTAACAATGAGATCCTTTTTTCCTGGCAAAAACTTTTGGGGGTAAATTTTAAATATTTCTTCTCACCCAGCTCCATATATCACCCACTTTCTCCTCTCCTGCACAATGCTTCAGTGTTCACGGCTGTTGCGACTCTGTGGTGGCCATTTTGACCAGCCTCTTCTCACTGCGGGTTACAAACTCTGGGGTTATACAGAGGAGTTGCATTCCCCTCTGGGGCCTCACAGAGCACCCCTCCACAGCTTCACCGGCCCTCCAAGGCGATTTTCGGCTCCTTTTGGAGCCCACAAACAGCTGAAGACCAGCGCAGGAACGGAGCTCTCCCTTCTCTGCTACGGGGTTCGTTGTGACATCAACTGGAAGTCAATCTTGTGTAATTTCTGTGATGATGCAAAGGGCAGTTCGTTTCTTAAATTATCTTTCTTGGATGGTCTGATTGGGATAATTTTAGTTTCAAATGCCATTTACATTTCCATCTAATGCCATTTATAATAGTTTCCTTTATTATCCTGGTTATATGATTCTGCTACTCTGCATGAACACACAAACAAGCAACTATCTCTCCAACAAGGCATGGCATGTGTGAAAAGAGATATAAAATGTCAAGAAAATTCCACTGAGAATTTCCCTTACAGTAGACCTCAGTTTCTCCCCTGTTTCAGAATTTAACTGAAAAAACTGCACCTCTACCCATCCCCATGTTTCGTTTAGGCTGCAACTCCTTTTTATCTTTTAAAATACTGCATGTGTTTTTCCATAATACTTACATATTTTTTTTACTGGAGTTGGTGCTATCAGGATAATTAATCCATCAATTTTTGCTACACATTTGCTGGACTAGCTTTTTTTTTCTTTATTTCTTTCTTTTTCTTTTTGAAAAATAGAAGTTTGATTCTAAAGAAGGTATATTATAACCAGACATCTACCAAATGTATCTAGGATAAATTCTTAAATTTCTTTCTTCCTTTTGCTTTCCTGAAGGAAAGAAAAGCCTTTTTTTAAAAGAAATCCTTGTTGATTTTGAGAGGTTTCTCATCTAGTCTGAACAAATATTCAGGTGCCACATTTTGTTAGGATGAATGGAACAGCTATACCAATAGAAAATTTGAGTATTAATATTTTTTCTCCTGAATTTAATTCTCTTCCCTGTATGAATCATCAACTAGACAGATAGTACTGTAATAGCCACTAAATATGGCATAATGCTTCATGCTTCACTAATCTCCTGACCAAATTACTATAATGCATTATATATGGGTCTAATTTCAAAAGTAGTTGAAAATATGATTGTCAGAATTTTACCTTCTGGAATCAGATAGAATTCAAGAAACTGGAAATTATCCCTAATGTGCTAATTAGTTTGGTATTCAAATACTTAAAGAAGCACCTTTCACTATGGTGAAGAGCAACAATTATTTTGGACTATAAGATAGAGACCTAAATATTTATATATATTTAGTTATTAAGCTATTTATATGGCCACTCATCTTGCTACTGCCACTCTGAGTGGCTGTCAGTGCATTAAAATTCCCAAACAGTAACAATCTCAGTAAGTAAAAAAAGAATTAAAACAAGGGTCACTATACCATGTATCAGAAATTCAAAGAGATTCTTTCATCTGGCAAATCCATAGTCAAAAAAGCAAGAGATTACTTAACATCCTGCCCAAATGCCTGAGGGAAAATCAAGGTCTTTAGAAGTTGGAGCCATTCAGATTTCTTCTTGCATGACTCTTTCGGTAGCTGACTTCAAAAAAGAGTCATCTTGCAAAAGAGTCCAGGGGTCTGGCATTTCTTTAGGTGATGCTTTAAAAGTTTGTATTACACTGATTCATTACAAAAAAATTCTAGTGATCTCTTATTGTACTTAAAAGAAACTTGCTACTGCATTCCTATAAGAATTCCTGTATTCCTTGCTGCTTGAAAAAACACTGAATGGAATTCAGTAAGGTTTTTGTTTTAGGCTAAATCTTGTAGCATTTTCATTATCCCAAAGCCAATTTTATGGAAATTCTCTTCATATTCTCTCAACTAATTATTTCAGCAATGGATAAGGAAAAAAAGTTGTTTATACCTACATTAGCATATATTGATCCAAAGATAAGCAAATTTATGGATGAACAAAAGTTTACCCATCCTCTTACAGATAACTTCCTTCTGATAACAATGTGGATATATTCACATAGTTTCCATGGCAGCAGTGTGGAAGTGGTTTGCTTTACCCAGAAGGCAATGCGTGCTGCCCCCCAACACCTCCTACGCATGCACGTGGGACTCCCATGCGCACCATGCATCTCTGCGAATGAGCACGCGATTCCTCTGTGCGCCATGCATCTCTGTGCATGCATGTGCATCTTCCATGCACCCACGCACCCCATGCATGCGCGCCAGATACCCGACAATCAGCTGTTGGGCAGAAGCATGCACGCATGTGCAGTGGGGCTCTTCCAGGCGACCTCTCGCTTGCCGGCAGAAATGGCTCTGCGTGCCACTTCCGGCATGTGTACCATAGGTTCGCCATCATGGACCTATACTGTATATGAACCATTTTGCACCTCACAACCATTTTGTGAGGTTTAGATAGTGGTTTTGGTAACAAAGAGATCAGGGACAAGTGATTTTTGGACACACCATTCTCATTCTGTACAGGTTAAAAGGAGTTTTAGAAATGTTTTTGAATTCCATGAATTGCCTTACCTGTCCTGCAAATAGACCACAAACCCCAATTATGCACAGGATGTTGAATACTGCAGAGCCAACAATGGTTCCAACACCTACATCTCCTTTTGTGATAAACACACCTGGTGATGGGGGATAATTTCAAAGTGTTATCAAAAGGCAGACAAAATTTCTGATCATGAATTAGAACTATGCAGAGTTGAACTGCAGGGAAAAAAAAGTATAATCTTTAAACTTTGATTAAAGCAGAGAACATATGCAGAATTACAAATGCAGCCAGATGTGGTTTTTGCCTGATAAAATAAAGTGAATTACAACAACATTTATGCAAGGATTTCTCAATATTATTCAAAATCCACAGAGCCCTAACCAACATATGTCTCGAAGTAAGATGGTGGAATAAGCTACCATGTGCATTTTTTAACCAGATAAATGAGGCAAAGTTGGGGGGCAAAGATGAGGCATAGGGGGAATGAGTCCTGCTCCCAGCCATTCTTGCAAATAAACTCTTAAAATGTGACTTTCCTTATATCCAGTCTACAAGTAGTCCTCAATTTATGACTACAATTGGGACTGTCATTAAGTTGTTACAATTGTAAAGTGAGACGTCACATGATTGGACCTGATTTTACAACCATTTTTTCAGCAGTTTTGTTAAGTGAATCAGGCAACTGTTAAACCAATCCAGTTCGCCAATTGACGTTGCTTGTTGGAAACTGGCTGGGAAGGTCACAAATTGCTATTTCATGTCTACAGGAAGCTGCAACTGTTCATAAATGTGAGCATCCAAATTGGGATTACGGGACCATGGGGGGTTGGTATGATGGTCGTAACTTTGAGGATAGATCATATGTCACTTTTTCCCCAGGCTGCTCTAACTTTGAACTCTCATGAAATGAAAGGACTATTTGTACAGCATTTTCCTCTTGAATGTAATAATATGTATAGGGCTTCTCAGATTTGGGTGGGACTGAAAATATATTCAGGAAAAGCTGCATACATGAAAAGCTGCTGAAATGTGTAAATGAAATTATTCTGTTTTCTCCATATAAAGCATGGTACAACATTGGAAGTGTAAAGTCTCATGGTTTTTAAACTGCACTTTTGATAGACGTGAGCGGGAAGCTTTAGTATAGACCTAAGAATGCTGGACAGGTTGTTCCAACTGCATACTTCACTACAGCAACGACCCCCACCAAAGTGAGCTGCTCCCTGCATGGCAGGAGTTCTGGCAAGGAGTCCTGTGCAAACATTCCATAATAAAGGCGTTTAACAGCCCTGCCTGCTGCTCTGGCTTTTCTCTCTTTGTGACCACACAGAAGATGCTCCAGTGAAATTTACCATGAGAAAGACTGGAAGAGCTGAGTTCCCTTCACCTGATCCATCCTTCCCGAAATCAGATGCTGGAATGTAAGGGTTCCCTCTTTCAGAAGACTGCTGGTGGTGGACAGTACAATATTTTCTCTGTATTCTTGCAACCAATCTGGCCTTCCCATCTGTTACATATTCAGATGACTCCTATTAAAAATGCTTATGCTGTTTTCATTCAGCTGCCATTTCAATACAGTTCATTTACCTCCAATAAAATAAAATAAAGAAGCCTTCTAAGCCAGCTCTGTCCACCTCTCTTGCATTTCAGGCAGAGGTGCTTAATGAATGCAAGGCATGTGCTCTGTTAGTTACTACCACTTTCATGAGCTGGCTTCTCACCCCATTTCAAACGCCACATATCAAAGTAATGACCAGTTGACTAATGAACTGTTCTTCCCATCCCTTTTAATGTAACCTAACAGCAAAGTTAGCAGTTGAAAGCATAGGATTATGTATTAATTAAGGCTCCTCTGTTTTGGCATTTTGGCGGTTGTTCCAAATATAGACTTTTCCTAATTAACAGACTTCTGCTAATAACCATGCATAGATTTTTCAGAGTCTGAATGTTGTTGACTTCAAGCAAGATTCCATTTCATCGTATGGGACAATTATTCTGTCACTTTTTCTGCCACAAACATTTTCTCTTCCATCAGCATTAGCTAGTTTGAGGGACACACATATTTTAGCAAAGCAGGAACATAGCCAAAAATAGTAATTCTTATTTTCACAAATGTTAGTGGTTAGAAGTTAGTGGTTTTGTTACCTATCACAGATGTAAACAGCTCCGGAGCAGAACTGCCAGCTGCCATGAATGTTGCCCCTGCCACATCTTCACTGAGGTGCAAGCGCTGTGGAGGGAAGGGAAAAATCATTGATTGACTGATATGACTTTAAAACCTCTTTTAATGTTTCTCAAGGCATAATAAGGGAGATAACAAAAATGAAAAACACATTTAAATTGTAGTTAAAACATCTAAGTAGCTGTCATATCAATCAAATATTAGATGAGAAGCAAAGGACATCTAATACCTGCCTAAGGATGGATTACACGGCTTGTCAAGGGTGGAACTCCAGAATTGGTTGAGCCATTTTCTTCATTCATGCACTTTTCCAGTAACATCAACTTCACAGATCTAGACTGATGACTGAGTATGCATTTTTCCTTAGGCTAGCTGTACTGGTACCGATTGAGGAGCGGGAAGTTTGATTTGGTTATCACTTATCTGTTTCCTAAAATATTCTATTTTTGCTCTGTCCTACTGAATGGCAGTTCCTACCAACTTCAATTTGCATGTTTTAAAGTTATCCTGAGCATTTTTTTTGTTTGGAATGAAACAAATACAGAAAATTTTGTAATCAGAAAGTTTGTACACATGCCCAGTATTATATTTATTTTATAAATGTGCAATATTCCTTAAATGATCCTGCATATGCATTCAGATGAGACTGTACTTTTAAACAGTAATCAACAACCTACAGTCTATTCAGTCCTGCAAACCACTTCTTAAAAAAAATCCTGGAGCCCTTGACTGTGTCATCAAAACCTGATGGCAAATATTTTTAAAAAGTGGTATGAGGGTGAGGATGCTATTAGACTAGGAATAAAATAAAAGGGTTATGTAGTTTTGGAATAAGTTTAATATATTGGAATTATGTAAATGTTGGACCTCAAGAAAAGATACAGAAAGATACAGTTATATTTGTATAAATATAAGAGAAATGAAAATCTCTCCAATGGGACTTTTTAAATTTAAACAATTCAATTCAGATCAGGGCAAACAAACATATCACACAGTTAAAACTGTTTGCACCAGAATTACACTGTTGGATATACTGTAGCTCATATTTTTATAAACACTTTCTAATGTCAGACCTTCTAGACAATCACAATCCTTGTACAATTTAAGTGTTTAAAAAGCTAATTCCCTGCTGCAGTTCTTTTCAAATAACTGAAAAGCGCATGGAGAAAAACAGATAGGGAACTGCTGGTACAGAGTATTACACACATTTAATAGCTTAACTGTGTTTGGAATACTGTGTACTCTACCACTTCAGTAATTTTCCATTTAAAAAAACACATGTCAATTTGAAAAAAAAATACCTAAAAGGGGACAAATAAAACAACATGGAAATTAGGAAAAATATGTGTTTTTTATTTAAAAACTTAGAATAGGGAAATGTACACTTCATTGCGCTTATGGGTTACTCTTCTACATGTTCACTGGAATTCTGCAATGCTTCAGAATCAATTATGCTGGAAAGTTCTCTTGTAACATGCCAAAATGCCAAGGTAACATCTGTTGGTCACTTATTAAATCAGCTGTGTCGTTTTCCATATCAGCCATGTGCTTTTGGCAACAGATATGGGTGTATTAATGAATTACTGGGTGGGGCCACATTCATTCTTTAGATGCTTCAAAGCAACTTGCAGAATTGAATCTGAAGCTTGTACAGCCTTTAAGTTTAATATGATAGGGGGCATTTACAAGGAACTAGACATACTCAGAATGGAGAATTTTTCCCCCATGTGTATTAGCCTTAACCTCCATATTCAGTGATCATAAAGCAGTCAAGGCTATTCTCCTTATGTTTCTCACTGATAAAAGAAGTACAAAGTAGGAAATGGTATAAGCATACAGATGTTCAGGAAACCTCTACTATAAATATGAAAAATGTAAAATAAGAAATGAAATATGATTAAATGCAAAACATGATGATGTATGCATTTCAATAAACATGGAAAACTATTTTAGCACATACTTACTTCACAAATTTTTTCCAATGAAGGAACAAAGAAATCATCACAGATAATAGCCAAAGCGTAGAACATGTAGACAGCCTAAATAAACAAAAAGCATTCCATTGAGACAAGGGAATTTTGATCATGATATTTTCTCATTTCATTCTATTAAAAGAGCTAAAAGCACATTTATCTATTTTTTTAATACTAAAGAGGAAAGACACTATTTAACTGAGCTCAACTCATTGGTATGTCTACTTTGTTTTCTTGATAATAATATGATTAAAAAATTGTTATGACCAAAGGCAGACAGAAAAAAATATTGAATCTTTGATAGCAGTATAGAAGTTGTTTTCCATTGCATCCCTCTGGGATGTTTCTCTGTCTTCCCAGTTTAGTCTACAGCTGAGGAATGCCCTAAATATGGAAAAAGGTCCAAACCTACTCCATTTCTAACCCCAAACAAGGGCAGATGGGTGCATATTTGATTGGGTTAATAATGCCTGGTTTTCTTACAGGAAGAATATGAACACTGTACTCTATAGTCCAGTGCAGGAAGCTGAAATGAGTAACAGACTTCTCTCAACAACCTCCCTTAATAGTAAGCTGTTGAGGGAAGTTGTTGAGAGAACTCCTATTACACATTTCAGCTCCCTGAATAGGACGCCCTGCACAGAACAACTCTTCCTGCTATAAAACCAGGAATTATTAACCCAATCAGATATGCACCTGCATGCCCATTTCTCTGCAGGGAAAATGGGTGGGTGAGTATCTGCATGTGTGTAAAAACAACTCTGTATATTTTCAAACATGTTTTAATTCTTTCCTTAATTCAGGCCATGTTCTAAGAACTGGTGGTATAAATCTGCATTATCGCTTTTGGTATAATCTTGAAGCAATCACTGATAGGCAAGGCGACACAGACTCTGTCCACCTATCAGCTCCAAAATATGAAACTGGTTTCTTTATTCCCGAATGATAATCAATCCTAAATTGTTTATGCTGACTGTCTGAGCAATTAGAAGAATTACCCTTAGAAGAAACACCACTTTGCTTTTACCATCCTTGCTTCTTCCTTCCCAGATGGATCCAACACTTGTGGATCATCAGTGTTTTATTATAGTATGCACTGTATTAACACCAAGGGAAGGCACTATGCAGATTGCACCTAATTACAGTATGTCAAATAGCATTCTCTATAAAGGGATTACATAATACACAATACACGGTACAAAAACTATCCATTTCATATCATATCATATATCATATATCTATCTTTCTTTCTTTCTCTCTATCTATCTGGCAAAAATACTGAACATTTTTATGCTGATTGTCACACATTTGAAAGTACTTGAAGTCATCAATTATACTTTTGTGATGAGTAAATGGTTCTCTTATTCATTTGTATTTGTTCTATATGTACATACCTTTTATATGCTTATATTTTTCTATGTGCTCCTTGTAGCTTTTACAATTTTATTGTGATTTCAACTGATTTCCATATAAATAAACAATGTTGCTATTCAATTTCCAGTAGCGTTTTTGCCCATGCCTAGACAGATTCAGTACAAGCATTACAAATCAAATGCTGATTATACTAAATGCTGAATTAATATCAACTCACATGCTCTGGCCTATTAGTTCCATGCAAATAAATTCTGATGCACAGACAAAGCTTTCCCCTGCACCATGATTCCTGAATCCATTTCGGTGGAATATCAATTCCACATGTCCCATTCCTTTGGGTAGAGCTTTGCACAAGCGCAAGGGAACCTTCAAGTCACTCAAGCATCTTATGCATTGCATCCCTCTGCAGGCTAATCCAGAATCACTGGATATCATTCCACCTCATACACAGGAATAGGAGAGTCTTATTCTATGAGGGGAAAATGCTAAAGCACATGCAAAGATATTCTCTGTAATGCATAGCACTGTGCACTTACCTGTGAGAAATTATGTATTATGACCAGTTTCTTTTCTGGAGATGCCAAATAATGATCACATTTCCAAAGGATAGGTAACAATGAAGAAAGGTAATTTTATAGAAAACTACTTTATTTCAGTTCCCAAACAATTGGAACCACTTTTAGTTTTCATTAAAACAAGCACATTTAAATAAAAAATGTCTCCCTAGACCAATTATCTTTTCATTGCAGGGTGATAAATGCTGTGACAGAAGCTAAGCCAGGTGAGGTGTCTTCATGCCCAATTAGCATGCTTTCTTTTCAAGTAATTCTGGTAAAGATGATCATGTAATTGACTGGGACTGGCTTCAGTACTTCCTGCAACATGTTGCTCCTGCTTAATTACTACTGGAGCTAGAAACAAATGATTGTTTTCTAATCTGAATAACTGAGCAGATTTCTTGACAAGTGAGGCAAAGGCCAGCAAGGAAAAGAAAAAGTTCAGCTGTCGTCATCCTCATCCAAAGGGCAATGTTTACGGCAGAGGTGTCAAACTGGTGGCCTGCAGGCTGGATGTATCACATGCAGGCCACACCCACCCCGGCTCCACAAAGGCAAAAAAAAAAAAAAAAAAAGTCATGATACATAACGTCACATGAGGTGATACAGTTTGACACCCATGGTCTACGGCATTACCAAGGATGGAGATAATCTATCTGGTCTCCTTGAACAGAGAGGAAACTATGATTGCTTGACTTTAAGGTGCCATTACCAATACACATATTAAACTAGGTGGAGGTGAAAAGAGGACTGTAAGATTGTGGAAATGTATTGTAACGTAATGCCATTTATGTTTGCACAAAGCTTGTAACGTTCCTACTTTTATTATTTTTAGGCACTTTGTTATCTAATCATGTGGCAGAGAATCAAATGCTTTCAAGTAATCAATCCAAGCTACATTCAGTTTTGTCTTCCTCTTGCAATTTTCCAAAATAATTTTGTCAGTTAGGAGCTGATTTTTTGTTCCTCTGCTATTTGGACAGTTTCATTTCTGCTCAGATGGAAAGAGCTTGTTTTCAACTAGTTGCTGTTGGACTGCATCATCTAAAACGCCATTTAGTAATGTGAAAGTGGTTGGTAAGCATGTAATCCGCTTTTTGTTGGATCTTTCATTATCACTTAGGTTTTGCCATGTGATGTGAACCAATCTTCAATTACACCCACTTGCATTCTGTTACTAAATTGCTTGGCAACAAGTGGGTATTAACCAAGCACATGTTTCAACCAAAAACCATGCAATTTATTTACATCTAGTGCTGACCAATTCTTGATCGTCCTAGTCCTTTGCTCAACCATTTTTTATATTACAAGTTCTTTATTTCAGCTTCCTTTTTATTTTTATCTAGCTCCTTTATTCAAGCCGCATTCTTGTATTTCTTTGTATTTCCAAGGACTTCACTGTTTCTTCTTTGTCAGATACTGACTGATTCAATGCTGTCTCTCTATTGATTGGTAAATATGTTTCTGTTTGAGATTCTGTTTGAAGTTTGAGATTATTCCTCTTGTGTAATTTAAGTTTGTATCTGTTGATCTTCTTGACTTTAGCTGTTTTTGCTACTTTATTATTTCTAGTACTTCCTTGTTCATAGGTGATATTTCTTGATCAGATAGTCTTTGGACTTCTTGCTCTTCAGCTTCTTTTATTTCATCTATTCTAGCTTGCTTGCAACTGATCTTAGCATGCTGATTTATTGTCCAATCTGATCTTCCATTTTGGTGGTGCACTGTCTGGTTTATTTTCTTGTTTCTTGATTTTGCATCTAAGTTACCTAATTAAAACTGCAGCCATGCTATACATTAGTTGGGTTGTTTCTTGCAGCGAGCTTATATTTAATATTACAGTATTGGCATCTTTTAAAATTTGTACAAGATGTTTCTTTGTGACAAGTTTCAAAGAACCTTATTCTGTAATTTTGTGCTTTTCTAAATGCTTAGTTAGTGCAGTTGTCACCAGATACCCATTTGGTAGACATCTAACATTTAGCATTGCCCTTGTTGACCCAGGAACTAACTGATTTGGTATAATTTTTTGTAAATTATATCTCACCATATTGTTTATGGGAGAGACACTCTGATAAAAACTGTCTGGTATGGTTGAACCTCTGGCATAGCTCTCATCTTCTTCAGAACACATAACCCATAACCTCATAAAAGTAGTGCCTTGTTGGGAGACAATAATTTCTTTCATCCTTGAGAGAGTTTGAATTATTTGGAATTGATTGGACCTATGCTTTCCTGCTGTTTCAAATAATGTATATAAACATTCCTTTTAATTTTACAATGCATACAGAAAATTTGAGTCACTTTTCATTATGGACTTGATGTTTGGCATTAATAAAAGTGTTTGATCCAACTATACCAGACTTTTTAATTTTAACTTTTTAACACGCCCACCCCACATACAAATGCACACAAATATATACAAACTGAATGCCTTTTTTTTTTTACAGTTAACGATGATCAAAAATGACTCCCCTCAAAACCCAAATAAACCCAGGAACATCAATAAAGTAATACTTGGTAATGTTTTCACTGCAGCTATGCTCTGTTTTGCTACCATGCTGAGAATTGAATAACATTCAACCCACCCATTCTGTAAAGATATTAGCATAAGAGGAGCAAACTATAACTCTTACAATGCTCCTGATGTAAAGCATTATAGGAAATATTGCATCGTTTCAATTTCCAGATACTCATGGTCAAATCGGCTCAGCTAAAGGGGTTAGAATATCAAATCTACAGAAGTGAGGGTTAGAAAGCATTATGCTTACATTATTTTTCTCTCAAAACTGGAAAATAAAGTATTTTTAAAAACTGCTGATTTGTAATGGAATTTTGCAGCCCCTACTTTCCCTTTTTTTTCAGACTTATGTATTTTTTTTCTAATATTTCGAATACGGTCCTCAACTTAGGACCATAATTAAGCTAACAGTTTCCACTGTAAGTAGTGTGGTTGTTAAGCAGGTCACCACACAATTCTGACTGATTTTACAACCATCTTGCAAAGGACGTTATGCAAAGGCAGTAGTCATAATGCGAACACCATGAGTGTTGTGCAAATTCATTGTTTAGGATGGGCCGTTTTTTTCCAGAAACCAAAAGTAAACATAAGTTTACAGCAAAAATGTAAATTAC